TGAAATGAGTCTCATGTTGGATCTGAAGAAACGTCCAAGGCCACCGCATGGTACGGCCGGAGGGTTCAGGCTGGAGAGCTCTGGCTTTTCTTTGAGCTGTCTTTGAACCTTCTCTTTGTCTTCTGGTGTTTTCGAAGGATTTTTTTTTTCGTGGACTGCTCTTCTACAGTTGGTTCTTTAGAAGCAAATGGCGTCCTACGGACGATATCAAACAATTTGCCGCCAAGGCTCTCAAGGCTTCATCATCAATCAGTCAGTTAAGTGCAATACGGTCAAAATCACGCTGAAAACACCGGTTCTCGTTCGATCACCGAAGTTAAGCATTGTAGAGCCAGGTCAGTACTTAGATGGGGGACCGCTTGGGAACACCTGGTACTGTAAGCCCCCAAAGTCCAACCATTACCTCACAGTCGGTGGGGGGGTGTAAACGGTAGTGTCAGAGCTATGCCGCCCGGAACTTCGTTCCTGGTAGGGCTACCCAAGGCGGACAGGTCTGACACATACGCCGGCTAAAAAGGGCTCTGGTGAAAATCCAAGGAGCGTCTGCATCGGTAACCGGCGGCTTCTGGTCGTTCCTGTCTCTGCGTTTGGGAACCCGCGGCAAGCAAGAACGTTATCCGAGTAGGCCTGTTATTCTACTTCTGTAATTTATCCCAAGAATCTTCTTCTCATAACAGGAAGAAGCCGGATCAATCCGCCCAGGGTGAATGCCGCATCACACAATACGTTTTACCGATCATGTCTCTTTTGATTCATGACTGACAAAACAAAAGATTTTTTTTCCCACGGTAGGCTTCTAAATATTTTTTTTCCTAACTGGTTTCCAACCAAGGCTATAGGATCCATTTTGTCCTGTTATTCATCAAATAGCTAGAAGGAGGAGATAGATTTATACCTTTCCCAAGGGTATTTACACGTAAGGGAATGTAACGAACCCGACTGGAATTCGAACTCGACTCGCCGATTTCTCATTTTGAGCAGATATTCAATACCCAAAAACTCACATTATAATAAGTTTTATTTTAAACCACGCACATAAGTAAGTCGATAAAGCCACTAAAACACAATGGGTACTGAGAGTGAAAGAATCTGTCAAAACATTAGGGAGTGAGAACAATAAAAGCACAGCATTCAAGGAGACAGAAGATAAGCTTTGACATTGCATATAAATATTTGATGATCAAAGTTGACTGGAAAGCAAGAAGACGGAAGCGAGTTACACGAGCGAGAGAAGAATATGTTAGCATAGAACTTGCGGTTGCATCTAGCAATTCTAACTGTGAAATGGTGATTTCTAGCTGCTAATCTAGTACTGCATTTACATTGCTAAGTTTGGAATACCACAAAAGAAAAGCCATCATAACAACTGCCATGATAATATTTATAGAAAAGGCACGGAGAGGCTGTGTTTCAACTGTGAGAAAGCGACTGAAGCCGAGATGACAGACAACGACCTGCTTCTAGGCGATAGGAGGGAACGATTATCATTCCATATAAATGTTTGACGATCAAGGTTACTGTCTCGCAGTGTTACCACTTGCTCATGTCTGGCAATACGCACTTCAAAAATTCTCGTTTTTAGGGTCACCCTGTATATGCGGGAGAGGTTTGAATTGAAGGAATGACGTCATCATGCCGGCAGTTTTATTTCCTACACTCAGCACGTTAGAAATTTTAAAAAAAAAAAGTGGGATATGAGGTGGTAACAGATATCTGGGAACCAAGAAAATGCAAGAGAACTCCACAAACGTAAAGTGCGAAAGAAGAAATCCTTAGCAAAATCCTTTCTGTTATGTTATCACCTAGCCTAGAAGCCACCCTTCTGAGGATGGCTTTTCGGCTTTCGGCCTTTTCCCTTCAGCTTCCTATGTGCGTTAAAGCTATAAGAATTTAGAAATAATAAAATTATTTTAACTTTATTCGACAACATAAATCAGCATAATCTTTCTTCGTATACGCAACTGGTCTCCGTAGTTTTACATTTATTTTGTGTGCAATTTTGATTTTCTTTTAAAATCACCATTCTTTTATGATCCCTTCACATAAAGTCACTCTTAAAAGACATTAGGGAACCCGAACTATGTAATATTCAAATATGTCACAGTAAGAGTGCTAGAAAAATAAAGAAAAAAAAAAGCAAAGAACAGTGGCCCGTTTAAATTTTAATTACTGTTTAATTAAACGATATAAATTGCAATTGCGATGAAAAGCAAAATTAAAGTTAAACCTTTAATAAAGAATTGTTTTTTTAAAACTATCACTGT